TCCAGCCATCACATTATGTTTTAGGCAAGAGAAGATGAAGAATTGACCCCTTCTTCTTCTAAGGAAATGTGCCATGAATCTCAGAGAACACTTGATCCTATGTACCATTGGTTAGCACCTAGTTAGAAGAGAGGATTTAGGATATGGTCACACCTAGCTAGAAGAGAGGATTTAGGATATAGACCTTAGCTGAAAAGAGGACATCTAACTAAAAATCAGAAGGAGAAAGATGGCTCTTGGGAGGCAGCTAGCAACCTCTGGCACATGATCTAGGCCACACCAGCCGTAAGATTAAATCAATTTGCTGTGAACAAAATTTTTTTTTTCTAATTCTTCTCTTAATAGATTGAAGGAATTTCAACCCTTTAAAGTGATCCTTTAGCCAGTGCCAAAAGTAGCCAGATCTTATCTCACATGTAGGAATGTTACTATCCAAAAACCAAATCTCAACTTGGAAGATAACAGGGGAAAAAAATTGGTCCATCTTATGCAAACTCTTCCAGAGATTTGGTTGTCATGATATGAGACCAGCATAGCCTTTATAAATTTCAGATCCTGCTAAAAACACCAACAAACAAACAAAAAAGAAAGAAAAAATCATAGACTAATTTCTTCTGAGCATAAATGCAAAAATCTTCAACAATATATTAACAAGTCAAATCCAGCCATTAAAGGGATTTTATTCCAAATATACCAGGGGAGATTAACACTAAGGAATCAATCAGTGTTTTCAGGAAAAAATATATATTATTTTTCAGAATATATATATATATATATAATTCTGAAAAAAAATGACAAAATTCAGTGCCAATTCATATTTTTTAGAAAGTAACAAGTTTGAACTCTGGATGGCAGGGTGTCCGTGTAGGTTCACGCTTGTAATGAACCACCAAGGAGCAGGAAGTTGATAGCAGGCAAGTTTTTTTATGTATGGGGACAAGGGTAAATCAGAATTTACTGTTCCTTCAGTTTTTCTGTGAACCTAAGATTGCTCTTAATAATAAAGGCTATTAATTTTTGAAAAATGGCAAAGGTGATTACATTTTATGTTATGTGCATCTTATCACAATTTTTATAACCTAGCAAACCAAGAAGACAAAAGAATTTCCTTAATTTGATAAATTATTTAAAAAAATAATTTAAAAATTAATTAATATAAAAAAACTACAGCAAATATCATACTTAATGATAATATTCTCCCTGAGATGAGAAATAGAGCAGATACTTGCTATTGCTACTCCTCTTTCTTTTGCTTTTCTTTTTGGTGCTAAGAATTGAACCCAGGGCTTTACCTCTAAGCCACTTCCCAGGCCTTTTGTTCTTGATTTTGAGACAGGTCCTCACTGAGTTGCTGAGATTGGCCTCAACTTGAGATCCTCCTGTCTCAGTCTCCTGTGTTGCAGGGTTTACAGGTGTGCGCCACCTCGTCTGGCTATTCATTGTATTCTTAAAAGCTCACACAGTGAGTACTAAGTGCTTTTACCACAAAAATGATAATGTGAAGCAAAACACATATTAATTAGCTAGTCTTAACCATCCCATAATGTATATAGCATATACTTCAAAACATCACTCTGTTCATGCCTCCCTAGGATTATAGGCATGTGCCACCACACCCAGCATCGGTCCTCTTTAATATTGCATTGAAGATCTTAATCTGTGGGGAAAATAAGAAAAAAATATACAAAATTAAAGGATAATAGAAATAAAGAAAATTATCTCTGAATGGGGTAGTGCACACCTGTGATTCCAGCTACTTAAGGCAGGAGGGTTGCAAGTTTAAAGATAACCCAGGCAATTAGCAAGACCTCTTTCAAAATAAAAAGGGTGGTAGATGTAGCTCAGTGGTAGAGGGCCCCTGAGTTCAATCACCAGTACTAGAAACAGATTTTTAAAAAGAAAGGAGAGAAGAGGAAAGGACAGGACAGGAGGGATGAGAAGAGAGGAGTCTTCAAACATGTTCTTCAAACATGACATAATGGATACTTTGAAATTCCAAAAGAATCAGTAAACTAGGGCTGGGGATAGCTCAATTGGTCAGGTGCTTGCCTTGCATACACAAGGCCCTGGATTCAATCCCCAGCACCACACACACACACACACACACAAAATCAATAAGTTAATATATTAATAAGTGAATTTAGTAAAGTTGCTGGATACAAGGTCAATATGAAAATTAGTTCATTTCTATATGCCAGGAGTAAAGAGAAAGCAAAATATAGAATTGATGCCCCAGACTATAGTCACAAAAATACTTAGGAATAAAATTAATAAAATATGCACAAGGATTGATACATTGCAAATGTTACTGATACTGAAGAAGGCCCAAAAATGAATAAAGAGATACAGCATGTTCATGGGTTAGAAGGTGTGTTATCATTTAAATCTCAGTTMCCCCTAAAATAATCCAGAGATGCAACTCAAGCCCAAGCAACATCCCGGAAGCTCGATCTCATTCTCTTTTTCCTTTTTCCCTTCTTTCTTTTCTCGGACATTGCCAAGCTGATTATAAAATTCATTAGGAAACACAAAGAGCCAAAAATAACCAAAGTGATCTTGAAAAAGGAAAGCAAAACTAGGAGACACAGCAGGTATCAAGGCTGACTGCAAAGCCAGTTGGGGAGGGAGGGGTTAAGGAGGTAAATATTCTATGATTCCACTGAGATTAAGTACAAAAACAGAAAAAAAAATTAATCTAAGTTATWAGAAATAAGGATAACATTTTTCCTTAGGAGAAAGACAGTGGTGTCAAGGAATAATTAAGGAGCTCTAAGGGTGCTTGTGACCTGGGTTTTGACTGCATAGGTTGTTCTGTTAATGAAAATCCATTGAGCTATATATTTATGATATATCCATTTATTTCATCAGAATTTAATGAAAGTGCATAGCCATTAAATCTAGCAATTTTCCATGTAGAAATTTAGTTTGTACTGAGATATGAGGTGGTGGAGGGGGAGATGTTTGCTGCAATTTATTTGTAATAAAACAAATTGAACAAAACCTCAAAGTGCATTGATTGAAAAACAGTCACATGCATTTTGTATTTTTGTAATGTGGAGTATATAGTGCATGCATTAAAAAACCGAGTCACATCARCATCTAATGCCAGGAAAAAAGAGCCCTAATATTCTTTTACAAATTGCAAAATAGTATAAGAATATAGTCCCTTTCATTAAAAGAAAAAAATCCCTCCAAAAAATCTACATAAACCACACAAAGTATCTGTAGCTAAAATTCTATGGAAATACAGATTTATACCTACTTTGAAGGGATACCAGTTAAATGGGTACTTGACCATTACCAAGGTCATCATTGAAAGTTTGGAGTGATCGAGTAGAAAAACCACTGGCCTGGAAAACTAAAAATGAGCATTTATTTTCTTATCATTTTCTCTTAATATTTGCTTCAATCAAATATATAAAGGCTGTCTTCTTAATAAAATGGCACATTTCCTGAGATGCATACACAAAGAGAATTGTGTAATCATCTTGTACTTCTTAGAAATAAGAGCCCTTCCTATAAATAAAAAACCTAATCTCTATTGATGAGAAGGCAGAAAGTTGCTGATTCTGCAAGAAGAGGGACTCTAAGTTCAGGCTTCCTGGCTCTGATTAGTTAAACCTCAGCAATTCCCTCAACCTTTGTCTGGTAGATGAGGTAGGATCCTGTAGAGGAAATGGTAGCCCAGGAGCTGCCACAGGCTCTTGCATACAATGACCGGGCTGGGAAAAGATGGTAATGATGAGAAATGTAAATAATAATTATCATCAACATAGTCAAAGCTAAAATACAGTGCTGTACTATGTGCTAGACACTTTTCTAAGCATTTTATATATGCTAACTCTAATCCTTGCCACAACGCTATAAGGCCAGTATTATTAATATCACATAAATAAGCAGGCACAGAGAAGTTAAGTGGCTGCCAAGGTGCAGCTTGTTTCCAAACACAGCCATCTGGGCACCCAAATCCCTGGTGTTAACTACCAGTCCCTTGACTAGTATTAGTCAATGATATTTGAGGGTCCAGTATGGGGTGGGCACTTTCTAAGGCACTGGGTGAGCTCAGTGGCCTGCTTTCTCCCACCCTCCAGTCTCTTCCCCACATAGCAGCCACAGAGGACTTTGATTTAATTTTGTTTCTTTGTGGCACGTGCTGGGCAAGTGCTCTCTCTACCACTGAGCTATGCCTGCAGCCCCAGCATGACCCCTGGGTTTTCTTTTTGCTTGTCATACAGGGGATGGAACCCAAGGTCACCTTACCACTGAGCTATATCCCCAGCCCTTTTTTATTTTATTTTTAATTTTGAGACACGGTTTCACTAAGATGAGGAAGCAGATGAGGTTCACAGATCACTCAGCACTGGGGATAGGGGGACATTGAGGCAAGTTTCTCAGTTTCTGAGGCTGGYCTCAAACTTACAATCTTGCTGCCTCAGCCTCCCAATTTGCTGGGAYGACAGGGGTGTACCACTGTGCCCAGCCCAGAGCGATCTTTTTAAAATCCTAAATCAGATCTTGTCACACTACTGCTTAAAATGACTTGGCTGGCTTCCCACTGCATGCTGGAGTGGATAGCAACACCTGACTGAGGGAGACCTACGTGATCTGGTGCTCCCTCACTTGGTTTCCCACCCCACTGTCTTCCCTCCTGTGTCTGGAAAGCTTGAGCTTATCTCAAGAACTTCCCTTTTGCTTTGCCCACAATGTCTCTCTCCAGCTCCTCCTCACCAGGCTGCTGTCCATCCTGTGAGCCTCGGCTGAAATCCCACTTCCTTCTAGAGGCTCCTCTGTCCATTCTGTTTGCAGTGGAGGCTGCCCTGTAACTCCCTGTCTCCTCATCTCGTTTAGTGCATTTACTGAGCTCCTCTCCACGTGTCACTCCCCTGTTGTCCACTAGCTTATTGTTTCTCCTCACTTGCCTCCCGCAGCTCCAGAAGGGCAGGAGTCCTGTCTGCCTTATAAACACACAGCTCCTACAGCACACCTGGCCCATGGCAGGTGCCCACAGCACACATGTTGCCTGCAGGGCCACTCCCAGCCTTGAAGACACTTCCAGGGCCATGACCAGCTTCCCAAGGTCATGACCAGCTTCCATCCACTGGCCTTGTTCTATGGGACTCCATGCTTTAAGTTCACAGATGAGGGAGCAGATCACTCAGCAATGGGGGTAAGGGGACTTTGGGGCAAGTTTCTCAGAAAAGGGGGTTTTTCTCAAAGAAAAAGTGGGAGCCTGCAGGCTATTCAGGAAGAAAGGGCTATTCAGGAAAAGGAAACTGTGAAGAGCACCAGGGCTTGAGGGGCATTCTGGGCAGTGGGAACCAAGTACAGGAGCAAAGGCTGTGTGTGAAGTTCATGCTCCCTGTGTTTTGTGTGCCTCRGTGATGGATGTTATTAACATCTAAGCCCCCCACGTGGGTGAAACAGAGTGCAGTTAAGAGCTACGACTAACCCGTGTCAACCAAATGAAGCTCCTGCAGCTCGTTAAAGCAGCACTGTTTCCTTGCAGGTTCCCCGAGCTCCACTCTTCYGCCTCTCTTTGCACCCTTTTGCCATGTTAACAGCACCCAAAGCAGCAGAGTATGCCCGCAAACAGAGTAAGATTGTTTATTTCCATCTGTTTCGAGAAATTTTAAATAAAATAGGATGTGGGCTCACAAACAAAGGTTAAAATTGACATGGAACTCAGTTTCTAATTGAATTAAAAAGAACGGGGAACTTGAAGGACTTGATTCCCACATACCCCCACTCCCGTGACCCAAATCACAAGGTCTTATCTGTCAGACCCTTTGGTGGTGGGAGCGAAGTGGTCCAGAAGGGGAAGATCTGAAACTGTGGAGGACACATTATTTTTTTTAGGTTTTATATACAGATTCGGTTACTCTCTGTGCCTGCAGGTGTCAAGTTAAGAAGGGGAGCAATGAATAAGAATGCCACCACCAGCAGCTCTACAGAGGAAGCAAACGCCACAAAGTGGAAGTCATCAAAGKGTTTTTCGTGCACATCACCAAAGAACACAGTAGGTCTAAAAACAATGAATTGGACCAAGCTGAGACCAAGTGTTTGGGGAGAACTSTGCTTATATTGTGATTAAATGTKGAACCTTTGGAGTCAGRTGCTCTGGATTTGAATCTAGAGCCTGCTRCTTACCAGCTGTGTGACTTCAGAAAAGTACTTAACCTCTCTGTGCACTAGCTTCTTCCTCTGCAAAATGGGAAGAATAATGGTATCTATCTCTTTAAAGTTGTTGAGATGACYAACTGAAGATTCTAGATACTAAAAGATTAGAAAAGTGTTTGGCAGTTAACTCTAAATAAATACTATCCATAATTATCTTTTCAGCATTTGAAAAATACTATTTGCACCAGGCACAGGGGTGTAMTCCTGTAATCCCAGCAACTTGTGGGGGCTGAGCTAGGAGGATTGCAAATTCAAAGCCAGCCTCAGCAACTCAGCAAGACCCTGTCTCAAAACAAAAATTTAAAAAAGGCTGGAGACGTGACTCAGTGGTTGAGCGCCCCTAGGTCCAATCCTAGTGCCAAAAGAAAAAAATATTATTTGCAAGTTAATTGGCCATTATTCTTAAATCAAATAAGYATATGAAAGAGGTTTATTTTATTCCTTATTAGAATTTTATCTCTTCCTGCTTGGCATCTCCCCTGCTCTTGCCCTGTCCATCTAATTTCCCATTTTTATGTTGCAGAATCAGAATGGTCATGTACAGGGCTGGAGGGAATAGAAAAAAAAAGCCGTTCTTTTTCTTCCTGTTCTGAGTTCTCAATTATAATGTGCACAGTGAACACAAGTTCAAAAAGAAGTCAGAGAGATCCAGGTGGCCAACATAATACAAGACAATAGGGGAGAGAATCAGAGAAGTGAGAAAGGCTGGGATATTTTAGGGCTCTAAGGTAGAAAAGAGAGAAGGGAATTTTGAAAATTGTACATTGAGATATGAATGGGTTTGTTTAAGAAGCATAAGTTTAGGGCTGGGGTCATGGCTCAGTGGTAAAGCACTTGCCTAGCATGTGTGAGGCAC